ACAACAGCGGAGTCAACAGCTAAGACAGATGTTTCATTAAATACATGCATCCATTTATTCCACAGATACTCCCAACAATGATTTCTTTCTCCTTTGAAAATGAATTAAAAACCCTGCTAATCGCTGCTTTCTAACTAAGTGAGGAGATAAGACATTTTAATTAGACTTTAAAAGACAATACCAAACAAAGTAAAGAGCTCTGGAGTATGCTCTTTGTGTGTGAAAATGAAACTTGCCAGCTGTTTGTGGCAAACAACAATGAATCCAAACAAGCTTTCGTTGCAACACGAGAAGTCTGAGCAGCCAGTGGGGTGTTACCTTTACACATAGGCAAATGTCTTGCTTCATGTTGCAAATGGACTGACCAATATGTAAAAGACCAACCTCTCAGTTTCAAAGCATTGTTTTAACTAGCCTGCTATCTGCGTGACAGACACAGGAAAAGGCAAATAAGGACTCAAAGCAGGCAAAACATGCCCGGCTAATGGCTCACACAGGTGTCCGTTTGTGGTTTACAGCAGCAGAACAAACATCATGCTGTTTAGAATCATTATGGGCAATATTAATAATGCATTATAACAACCTCTACTCAGTGGTGAAATGTTATGAAGTACATTGACTCAAATGCTCTACCCAGTAAGTACAATTTTGAGTGTTTCTACATTATGCTACCACAGGATTTGTATCTTAAAAACCTTGAATCTTTATACTTCTACATTTTGGAAGTCAATATTGTAGTGTTAGTGTTTACTCCACTACATTTATTTCACAGACATATATGTTACTATAGATTGATATAATACATTAAAGGTAGGGTAGGTAATTTTGGAGAAACCGGCTCGAGATCGCTAGAATTTGAAAATACACAGCCGGAGAAAATCTGCCACTTCCTTACAGAGCCCCTCCTCCAACACACACGAACGCGGACATGACCAATGAGGGCACGAGATAAGTTTGTGCACAGATGGAAGGCTGACAGGCAGCTAGGCCATCCAGTTATTTTAGCCGGGCCTGCTAAAATGATTGGTCGTGCTTTTTACAGTATTACGGCTTCCACAGATTACATTTTTTTATGGATTTTTTTTCAAAGCACTTAAGATATTCATTGCTATCGGGATGTTAAGAGCATTCCATGGAATATAACAAAAAGTGTATCTCGAGCCGGTTTCTCAAACTTACCTACCCTACCTTTAAACAAAAAATAAATCAATAAACATTTAATTATAGATTAAGATATCCATTAGCAGTATACACATGAATTCAAATGTGCTATATCTCAACCATGACCAGCTGTGATGAACAAATTAATCCATAGATAATAGGGGTCGACCGACTATCGGCCTGGCCGATTATCGAGGCCGATATTCCGCATTTTACAGATTATTGGTATCGGCCTTGTTTTTAATCAAATTGCCGATACAACTTTGGCTCTGATGCGGCCGTTTCTCTGGCTGCAGTCACCACAGTTCACGAGCAATGTCCCGCCCACGGTGCTATCTGATAGGCTATTACTGAAGTGTCAATCAACACTGAAGATTTTCCGGGCTGCAGCCAGCCAGAGAGGCGGGACCTTCTCAGATTACAGGCAGGTGCGAAGAACGCAGACAGAGGCAAGCAGCAGCAGCAGTGAGCGGTGTTTCGAAGGTAAATCAGATGAAAGCCGAAGTTCAATAAACATCCCAATCCCCTATGCTGAAGTTGCAAAAACACCACGATCTTATGATCCAATTCTATCAGTTTCCCAGTTACAAAGGGACCGGGCGGGTAGCGTCTCGCAGCGGAGAAACTGTGACGCGTTGGGACGACTGGGACTGGGACTGTGACGGCTGCTAGTGGAGCCTCGCAGCAACTCTGCTTTCTGCACCACAATCTGGTGCTGCTGAATTGGGACTACTAAATGAGTGAGACTCAAATATCAGAAGTTCAGAACAAGTTTTAGTAGTTTTTATTTAATTTTTACTTCATTTACTTTACTCAGGGTCACAGAGAGGAAACCAGTTTTAAGATGTTGAAAAGTTCATTAAACATAAAAAGGCATTTCAAAGAAGTTGTGTTATTCTACATTTTGACACCAAGATTTTCTGATTTTACTCCAAATGTATATCGGTTCCAAATATCGGTTATCGGTCTCCTTGATTACTAATAATCGGTATCGGTATCGGCCTTGAAAAAGCCATATCGGTCAATCCCTAATAGATAATCATAATCCCGTAATTTAATATTGGCCATGAAGGACTAAGACAGTATTTTTTAATTTCGTTATTGCTTATTTTACTTAAAAAGGTTCTTTGTAGTTCTATAACTGTCTTATTTTCCTTGAAAAAAAATATGTGTGTGTGTGTGTGTGTGTGTGTGTGTGTGTGTGTGTGTGTGTGTGTGTGTGTGTGTGTGTGTGTGTGTGTGTGTGTGTGTGTGTGTGCGTGCGTGCGTGCGTGTGTGTTCACAGTAAATGCATGCCCTCAGCAAGGCAAACACGCATTAGAAGCTTACATAAACAGCCAGAACGTGAGTCACGATGGCCATTCATTTTTAATGGCAGCCGCAACGAGTACGTGCTGTGACAGCGCTGCTCAGGGACCATGATGCAACAGGAGGGCCCCACCGAGCGGGCGAGCAGCTGGGTCTTATCTTATCCTTAAAAACATCTAGTATGCAGCCAGTAGACCAGTTTACGACTTGTGTACGTTACAAGTCTCACAGATAATTTGCATTTTAAATATTTCCAGCAAATTCATTGTGGAATAATCTCAGTCTTCATTATTGGTTGAGCGCAAAATCTTACTGTGCGTCAATTCCTGAGTAAATAAATCAAGACGCAATGACAGTCTGACAAGGCAGGTGTTCCGCCATTATAGTGGTTTCTCATTTATTTTCACCCACTCAGGCCGGCCATGCTCGGTCTTTAAAGAGAACAAATCCTACATTCTGACAGTTGATATACATTACCTTTAACTCCTTTACAACTTGTGGCTAAAAAAATCGTCTTTGACGGACTCAAACGTTTCAAAAGTGTAAACATGCACACACTACACAAAACGACCTTTTTCTTTACCCTACCCTTGGTTACGTGTAGGTAATGTTTCCATCTTGCGAATAATTCTTACAATATGAAACCAACATTGCCAGTATGTGTAATCCATAGGATTTTAACGACAAAAGGTTTCCTGTTCACTGTATGCTTTTTACATGTTCATTAGGTCGTTATGGAAAAATACAACTATATATAAAAAAAAAAAAGGATTTGCCAATTTGTATTAATATGTATTCTATTTTTAACATTTGGTATGTTCTACTGACCTCCATTGAAGTTTCGCAAAGGCCAAGGAAACAGATCAAAAATCCCGGGGTGGATACAATAATAATAATAATAATAATAATAATAATAATAATAATAATACATTACATTTATAAAGCGATTTTCCTGGTGCTCAAAGCGCTTACAAGCAAGTAAAAACAAAATAACAAAAGTAGAAAGTGCTAGGCTAGGTGGAATAAGGGCAAGGGGTTAGTTGATTAGGAGTTGAAGGCAAGAGTGAAAAGGTGAGTTTTGAGGGATTGTTTGAATGATGTGAGAGTGTTGGCGGATCTGACGTGGCTGGGGAGGGAGTTCCAGAGTGAGGGGGGGGCTGCAGCGAAGGCCCTGTCACCCCAGGTCCGGAGCTTTGTCCTGATGGGCTGCAATAGGTTAGCTTCAGCAGACCTGAGGCGACGGGTGGGGGTGTGTCGTTGGATGAGGTCACAGAGGTAGGGGGGGGGGCAAGGTTGTTGAGGGCTTTGAAAGTGAAAGTCAATGCGGTGTTTGATGGGAGGTCATGGAGGATAGTGGTGATGTGGTCGGAGCGTCGGGTGGAGGTGATCAAGCGGCCAGCTGAGTTTTGGACATATTGAAGTTTTTTTAGTATGAATGCAGGTGATCCAAAAAGTATGCTGCTGCAGTAATCCAGTCGGGATGTTACAAAGGCATGGGTCAGAGTTTCAGCAGCGGTCGATGAGAGGGAGGGTCTGATGCAGGTGATGTTCTTTAAATGGAAGAAAGCGTTTTTTGTGACCTGGTTGACGTGAGGGAGGGAGGGAGGGAGGGAGGGAAGGAGGGAAGGAGGGAGGGATACAATCATTATCCTTCTCTTGGTGGAGGTCTGTGCTCTCCCAGTGCCTTTCTAGTTTGTAATTGCCTTTATACAATATAAGGACTTAATTGTCCCACAGGGTTTCAATCCGTATTACTACATTAAGTCTTCATTGTCTCATGAGGTCCTTATGTTCGGTACCATGTAAGTCGGCATGAAATGACTTCATGGCCTCAGTTGTTACAGAGACATTCCTGTTTTGTCTCTTCTGCCTCTACAATGTTAAAGCTACTCTTGGAGTATTTTGTTTAGAATATAATTAAGCATGAATGTGTTTCCTTGAATTAAGAAAATACAACAAATGTATTTCAAAATGTATATTATACTGCCCCAACATGTTAAAGAAGTAAGACCACAGTGAAGGCAGCAGCGGTTCAACCAGATCTGCCAAGTTCTCTGCTAGTGCACTTTCTAGGAATTCCTCTTTCTGAAACTCTAGTCATTTCCTTCCTCAATTCTCTAAATGAATGGTAACAGTTTCAGAACCTTCTGAAAGAAATATTGGCATATGAACCCCATTGGAAAGTAAAGAATGTGATCCTTTATTTGATGTTTTACAGAGCCAAGTCTCTGTTAATCTCTCTCCTTCTCGTGGTTTTTCTAATTTGTATCATTTGGGATTAGGAATTTATCTGGCATTCAAAACACTTCTTTAACTGACTGTAACAGCATAAAGGGTTAAATAGATCACCTGATCACAGCGAAGTGGAAATGGAAAGTTCACATTTTCTCTCCAAACACAGATTTAACATAAATAACACTGTAAAGGGGGGGGGCTTTTGTCATGTCCACGCTCTCCAATGCCAACACTAGCACTGGCATTATGACATGAGATGGAGAAAACCTTTTGAACTAAAGGCCACTGGCACTCACCTCTACAATGTCGCAGTTGGTTCTGCTCTCGTGGGGCTCGTTGTACTCGGTGTATTTCAGCAGGACCTTGTCCATGTCGGTGCTGGCGTACTGGAACAGCTTGTTGGAGCTGTTGAAGATAATGAGGGCGATTTCGCAGTCACACAGAACGCTCAGCTCATAGGCCTTCTTCATCAGACCAAACTTCCTCTTCATGAAAGTCACCTGGAAGGATACAAATCAAGGATCAACCTATTTTGTTTATCCAAAATCCACTCACTTGTTGCCATTTGTTAATTCTTTTGATAAACGTTTTGTCTTCTTTAAATGCATTTTTATTTGTATCTTAAGGAACTCTGTGTTAACCAAAGTTCATGGGTTAGGGTTTCAATTAAAAAAATAAGTTAAGAGAAAATAGATACATCAACTCTCTTAAGAACCTTAATTATCATATCTAACCAGATGGTCATTTATTATATTTTGGGTTGTATACGTCACATATTTTTCCAATCTATAATCAAAGATATTAACTTGATTTCTTATTCTCATGGTTATTTTTTCCATTTCATATGTGTGTATTTATAAGTAATTTTTTGTCATAAGGGTCAATGCATACCCTCAATCACAGTAGACATTCCACACATTCGACAGCTGCTCTACCGAAGAAAAACTGATAATGAGCTAATTAACACACTATTAGGAGAAGACGCCAAAATACAAAGTCAGTAAATGACATAACCTTGTATTGTAGAGAGATACAAGTGAGTCAAAATGGCTCTTTGTCACAGGAGGAGGAGGAGGAGTTGACTAAAACAGGGTGGCAATAACCTAAAATCTGGCTTTTACTGGAATGCCACTGATTGAGTGGGTGGGGACAGCAACTGAGTCATGTTTCCCCTCCTGTAATGATGATCTTAATCATATTTACTTAAGTCCAACTCCTCAGTAAGGCATAAAGGTTTGTTTTGATAATAATTTCATCTCTTTTTTATAGTGTTAATTTTAACACTATTATTTTTATTTGATCCTTTTGCAATGTCCACATTTTTTTTTTGCAATTAGACGCAGAAAACATCAACCTGTTTTTCAGTAAAGATTTATATTAGTCTATAAGTGTGGTCATTTTAGTTTTATCTAATTTAGTCAAACCAAATTGCAACTATTTAAGTATGGTTTTTAACATTCTAGTCTGTCTAATCTTGCCAAATATCACCTAGTTCTTTTCTCCCAAGCCCTGTTGATGTAGTCACATTTCGTGTTCAATGACGTCTGTCGAACATATTGAGTCATTTTTTGTTTTAAACAAATGAACACGATAGCTCACTCCCTGCATTGAGTCAACTGTGTTTATCTGTGTTTGTCTTCTTTCCATCATGGCCTCTGTGAGTATGACAAAATGTCATCACATATCTAGAAGCTGCCTCCACACCTCAACATCTCCAGCCATGCAAAGTATCAGGTGTATTGGTCATTGCTGCTCCTGGATTTTGGCCAATCACAACACAGCTGATCTTGGTTGTTGAGCAGCTTTACTACAGCCTTAAATAGTTCAGGCACTTGAAACTGTTGATGAAGAAGAGTCCTGCTTCTTTAATATTACCAACAAGAAACATAAATACAAACAGTCAAATACTATGAAACTTTAGCACTGACAAATGGATCAGAGCACAGGCATTTGGGTTCTAATCAGACTTAAACTCTAACTTTTAAGTTAACTCTAAAGCTTTAAGGGTGAGGTTTAGGGTACCCTTAAACCAGGGGTGTCAAACTCAAGGCCCGGGGGCCAAATCCGGCCCGTGACTTCATTTTCTTTGGCCCCACAAGAGCTTGCAAAGAATATAATACGTTTATTATACGGTTACATGCCGATTTACAGAAGCACGTTGTCCATAAACTACATGTCCCACAATGCATCTCAAATTTAACTTTTTTCTCAGAATTTGACTTTTTTTTCTTCAAAATATGCCTTTTTTCTTAGTAGTTGCCTTTTTCTCAGAATTTGACTTTTCTTCAAAATGTTACTTTTTTTTCAAAATGTCACTTCTTTTTTTCTCCAGAATTTGGCTTTTCTTTTTAAATCATTTTGTGACATTCTCACTGAAAAGACTTGCAATTATTTTCCCTAGACTTCTTCTTTCAGACGTAGTTAATTATAAAGTTATTACCCTATCCAAAAATAATCCAATGCAGAGGCAATAATGTAATATAATACGTTATTTTATATATATTAAATATTTATATATGTATTTTTATATAGTCTTAAAGTTACAACCGGCCCTTTGAATGCAACCATAATGTTAATGTGGCCCGCGATGAAATTGAGTTTGACACCCCTGCCTTAAACTTTCAATGTCCCCAAAGGTTTCAGGTGGCGTTTCAGTTTTCTGTTTGATAATTTAATCTGTTTTAACCCAGTATTCCTGTACAATTGCAGATCATTTTGTAGAATTAGATTCAGTGGTGGCTGTAGGATTGAGGGCTTTCATTTGTTCAAAACATTCAACGATTGCTCCACAGCATTCGAAGTCCAAGTGACATGCAAAAAAACACTTACACTATGGTAAAAAAACAATGCCATCCTGATTGCTGCACACAAAAGGGAGGCAACACTGAATAATGATATTCATTAAAGGGGGTGTACTTAATAAAAAAGGATCCTTTCATTCAAATGTAGGATTTACTAAAAATGTTTCGGGCTAGAAGACAATGGGATCTCTTCAAACTGACATTTGCAGTGGTGTTTCAAGCAGAGATATTGAATCTGTTCAGAAGAACTACTAAACCTCTCCAACACTGTTCTCCTCCTCTCACATCCTTTAAAAACCAAGAGACACATTTCTCTATATTGCATCTTACATCTTATCAATTTCCATTGCACCTCCTCACCTTCACTGGGAATTCCCTGGTCCACAAATATCCTCTCAACCTGCTGTAACTCCTGAGCGTTGCCCTACTTGTAAGAATGAATTCTACCTTGACAGAGTGGAAACTGAAACCTTAATGAGTCAGTAGATTGGGTTAAATGTGGGGAACCTGGTGACTTACAGCAGCTCTCCACTTCCAGTCTAACTTGGAGGCTTTTAACCAGGGAACTGCGGGGAGTACCATTATATGCATGAAAGCACTGTGGCTTTTTTATATTTTATAGCAGAGGAAGCCATATACAGAAAGGAATGTGCCGCTGATAAGTGATGTAGTCTTCTATTGGGTCGTAAAAGTATATTTTCTTTAAACATTTTCCCAATTGGGTGATATAATGTCATATTAGTCTCCTGTGCAGTTTAATGTTCTGACTACATCAGATGGCCAACCAAGCTCATGTTCAACAAGCTGAACATTTGCACCAATGCCAGAAGCATTTGCATCATTAGTAATGACTGAATAAATGCTGCATCTCATTAAAGTAAATTAGATTAGATAATGTTGTCAAATGGACACTAAAGTTCTCTGACGATTCCAAAGGCATCGTTGTATGGTTAGATGATAATGGTTATTACTTGAGCATGACTTGCAAACAGATTTCTATGAAAAGAGATAACAAAGAAGTACTTTGTTCCTCTTTTAGGATCTACGTATAACTGCTGATGGTTGGTGTATCGCTGGTTCATCTTCTTACTGTTATCATTATCTATTCAGCATGTTGTGTAATGGTGTGATCGCTTAACAAAAAAGAAGAGGAAAAACCAGCTTGAAGCCCTTGATGCTCTTGCAAGATAAAACGAGACACATAAGCCAACTTCCCAAAAATAGAGTACAAGAAGCTAAATATATAGAAGTCTCCAGCGATGCACACTCGACAGCTAAAGCAGTGTCTATCTAAAAAGGCTCTTGCCAAGACATCCAAACATCAAATATACACATCATCCCAGATATTTATTTTCCAGCCACATCCCTATTTCCAGAGCCTGCGCCTTGCCTCCAGACAGGCCGGTATTTGTTGTGCTGTTGGGGGTGATATATATAGAGGAGACAGACAGAAAGAGATTCCAGTGGGCAGCAGTGTGGCTGCGCGAGGAGACGGTGAGGAGAGAAGGCCACTGTGTGTCCCTAACGCTGACCCACCCTGCTAATGACAGGGTGCTGTCCAGACCCAGCTAACCCCAAATGACTGCCCTCGCCACCAGCTGTGACCGCTGCACTCTCCATAAGCAGAAACTCCTTACAGGGATCTTTGATCGCTCTTTCGATTGAAACCGAATGGGACCCAAAGAACGCACCTTGAGGGATCCCTTCGAGAAATGTTAATGAAGCTGTCAATACTTTCACATGCATTTAACATTTGTTACTTCAATAGAAACTCAATAGGGCTTAATTTAATATGTAAACTTTTGGATATTTTAAAATTGAGCTCCATTTTTTGCAGAGTGGGATCTTTGCGTGATTCAGAGCAGCACATCAACACAGCACATCCCATGAAAGCAAACCAAAGCTACTTCTACATAATGTTTACCAAAGCATAAATATACCCTGTGTTTCAGTATGGATGTTTGTTGTGATACAGAAGATGACATGTTAGACAGAGTAGTCTCCAAAAGAAGGAGCCTACAGATTATAGACGTTTATGTGTAAACAACGTCTGTTACCCTAAGGTTTTATTTGCCAAAAACAAAAAAGGCAACTTCTATAGAGGATGCACTTTTATTTGGTGACCGCCCTCCTTAAAATGGTTATTTGTCAACCTTGTTTCCATGTTTTTGTGTCTAAGTTACAAATGGGGACAACACTTGAAATTAGTCAAGTACTGCAGCAGCCAATATTTCTGTTGGGCCCCATTCACTTATGATACTCATCAGAGAATGTCAGATTTAAAGACAAGCACTTTTATTGGATGTGCATCTGTGTGTAAATGAAGGGTTGACCAGCTGTCTTGCTCTCGTTAAATACTGGAACAATTTCAATAAAATGTGTCCCTATTAATAACTTAAACAAAAAAAACAAGGAAGAAATTACGTTTTACAGGTAAAAAAATAAAGTAACCTCAAATGACCCCCTCTTTAGCCATTACAATGGAATAGCAATTCAACAGTACTTCTCAAGTTATGCTGTTGTACAGTAAAGGGCTTCGAATAAGTATACAATGAAATGGCTAAAGATTTGAAATGAGACAACAAAGGCAGACTGACCTGTCTGTTCCTTTCATCCACGATCCGGGCGATCTGGATCTTCCTCCTCCCCATTGTCAAAACTAATTCCTCCAACAGCCAAAGAAGAATATCAGAGGGCTCCAGGTAGTTAAGACTTCAACAGGCAGTCCTCAACACATAGTTCCACTGGCAGCTGGGTTACTCCAGTATCAGTTTGGCATGGCTTACTGAAAAATAACAAGATAAAGACAGGGTCAACAATCAGTAAATACATTTAATTGATTGCATAAAACAAAGATTGAATGTCTACAAGAGCCTTACTTTACAAAACGTCATCGATTCCTTGCACCAAGACAGAAGGCAAAATCAAGAAATCCAAGTTGGCAGACCATCATTGAACTCTGGGATGGTGTTAGCATCAGATAATATGTACCTTATATGACGGACTAAGAAATACATCTATACAGTATTTACTCACTCACTCACTCTAGTTTTGAACAATTCTGTACAAACGTTACCATTCAACCAACCACCTCTAACACAGTCTTTATGTGTCAACTTGGCACAACCACAATGATCATTCTTGCAATGAGTCTTCAGGCTTTCCTTTCATAATTTGGGTTCCTGGAAGGATGAACATCAATGAGTATCACCAGAAGTGCACGAAGACTCACTGACCATCCAGAGGAACTAGCTAGTCCAGTGACAAGGACATGATCGCTCCCACCTTCAAACTCCTAACCAGGACAAAGACAATGCTACCGGTGACTAAACCAGCATTTCTGTCACAGCGAGAAAGCTATTTCGTCCTTCAACATCTCTCCCAAAGTCATTTATGTCTCAGAAGACTTTTGCTTTGGAATTTAATCTATGACCAATGGATGAACAATACACACACCAAGAAGGACTCAAGTAACTGATAAATCTTCATCACACACCTTGTTTAGCTGGCACCAAACTCCCTTTCACCACTGCAGTCCTTCACTTGCGTGACAATTCAGCCCAGAGGTCTTGAGTGAACTCACCCCTGCTCTCCTCCTGCAGGAGTGGCCACCTGCCTCCCTGTCTCCCTCCTCTCCTCAGCCTCAGCCCTCCTTTCTGAGCCCTGCCCTCCCCCAGAGTTCCTTCGCTTTTCTTCTAATCTCATCTGATCTGGGAGGAGGCAGAGAGTGAGGCGAAGCCAGGCTTTATCCTAACCCTCTCTGGATTACTGCAGCCTGTGAATCCCAGAGCTGAGCCACCATCACCCCCCACTGCACACCCAGTTCACAGGGCTGGGAGAAATACATTTGTCATTCGCCAGTGGAAATGTACTTGTGATTACTTACTGATTCAAATGACACATTATATATATATATATATATCTTTGCTCAAATCTAATACAAATGAAGTGCCAGTCTCCTTAAATGCCTCATACAATGGGTAAATGAGAAAGAATAAGATGAAATAGAAAATCCTATGTTGATTTGAAATGCATTTAACATCTAGTTGTTTTATGGTATTGTGGTCTTCTACATTTTAGTGATTGCTTTCTCAGTCGCTATTGAATTTCATATATTTCTGTCCTCAAACATTTAGGAGCTAGGTTTGATATAATGGCAATTGGTTTACAATGAGATGCACGCTCTCCTATAACGCCTCCAGATCACCATGCTTAGATCCCAGCTGACTCTGCCAAGGCAGGTCAGGGTGCGCACTGTGCAAAGACTCCTTGTGTATTTGGGATTTAAAGGTCACAAGGATTTATCTTTTTGACAATCAAGATGATTTGATGGCAAGACACAAACATAAAAAAGGTCTTATCTCATCTCTCCTGTGCTGCTATTCCATGAAAAAAGAGACTTTTATTTTAGCAGGTGTTCTTGTTACAGTTATGGTTTAATTATTGTGATTTTTTGGTACGGATTCAGTAATATTTTTGTAGCAGTGTTACGTTACTCCATAGGGCTCAAGAAGAATCCTTGAAAAGCAGGAGGGGTTTCTAGGGTTGCGGTCGAATAGTCCAAAAATCAGCTCCTAAGTTCTAACCCTATCGTCTATTCCTTGACCTCCGAGTGAAACGTCATGGGGTTAAGGGATAGTCGATAGGAGAATTCAAAATGATTTAGGAGAAGAGACTGCGGTACTTTAGAGAATCCGACTGCACTTTCACTATCCGACGTGTTTATGATGCGCCAGCGGACGTCATAAATGTGCGTCTGCTGCTGTGGGGAAACTATGGAAACTACAGTTTTCTATACAGCGGACTACAACATGGATGTTTAATAAGAACGAGGGACTACTGTAAACCATCGCCATATAGATATATATATATATATATAGATAGATTATATTATATGGCTCTGCTGTAAACTCATCTAGAGACTCTGCACCGTGCTCTGATGCTGTTGTTTTATGCTTTATGAACGGGGACAACAGAGAAACATTCTTCATGACCAAAGTTGGAATTTAAATAAAAAAGGAAAGTGAAACTTATGCTCGTCACCCTCTCCCTCCGGTCCACATTAATACAAATGATCCCAATACGTATGATTGTATGAACTATGAAAAGATCTTAAAAATAAATAGGCCTACAAATGTATTTATTATAAACGTTAGTCCTTAACATCTATCACTGTGTATATCACCATTCAAACATCTTAAAAGTTGAACAAACCCTACACAGCTCAGTAAAGACTGTGAAATGTTGACTTTATTTGATCATTTCAGTAAAAACTAACGTTCATATTTCTCTTTTTGATTATAATACTGATGAACGTTCAAAACAAAGCACTTTGGCAACTTACCACATACGTTTTAAAATGCTTAATAAGCACCGTAACTTTCATGATATCATTTCTCGGTCATAATCGGTTGTTTCCGTGAACGGCCGACTGTTGTGTGACGGCAAATGCTGCGGCTGCAAGGCATTGTGGGGCAGCATTTTCTCCTCTCCTTTCGGTTAGGGAGGTCCAGTGGTTCCTAAGCTAAAGGAGGTTATAAAGGAAGTTTGAAACCTCCTTTCCTTTCATTTAGAGAATTCGAACGGCACTTATCATGGCTGCCACTGAGGGACTTCCAGGTCATTTCACTCCGTTAGGAAGGTTCCTAAGCTAAATGGACTATTCGACCGCAACCTAGGACTTCTGTAACATACACAGGAATGCAATAATTGGGTTATATTTGTCATGTGTTGATCTGCATAAGAAACAATGCACTAGCTTCAGCAGTAATTGGTTAGAGAATACAGTTATTAAACTTATTTTAAACTAATCTCTTGTCTGCCAGGATTGAAAAACTGAAACTGGGACAGACACTACTGCGTCCAATGTCAATGTTAAAAAAGACAGCTACTACGGATTATCCGACAATTTAAAATCCCAAAATCAAATTTCTAATTTTCCTCTACGATCATGCGAGTAATTCACTTTACCATAGTTGTGCGCTGCTTCTCTCTGAAAATGACTGAATTGTTCTGAAGGTTTTTACAAGGAGTTTTATAATCTACAGGGTACAAGTCTTTCCCTCTCAAAAGCACACGGACACGTTAAGAAACACTGAATCAGGCTAGTCTCATGTTAAACATGTGTGCTTTCTCCTGGTGTTGGGATAAATATGTTTTAAATCCTCTGGAGCAGAGGGAGGAGCTGTGGATTATTGTTATTGATTAATGCATCAGTGTTTCTCAGGGTCATTAACACCAAACTCACAACTTAAAATGAAAGCGTTTAGTTTATTTAATAAAAGAGCACATGTTCAAAGTGACAAGTGACAATAGATAGTTTAGTTGCAATTTGGTGCTATATATATATATATTAAAAAACCTTTAATTTCAGGGTAACACTGTGTTACTGCTTTATTATTTGCAATTTTGGTGACAAATGGCAGCTTGAATACAGAATACAATAGATACAAAGACATTTACCACCAATTTGCAGACAATGTTTTCTCTTTGACGGTAAATCTCTGTCTCATGCTGCAGAGGCTTGTAGTGCAACAAAGGAGCATGTTCTACATCTCACTTCCCGGACAACTTGTCCTGATCGATGCAGATGTAATATGTTACTATGGCAGAAACTCTATCCTGCTGACGGGAAGATCAATACAGCCCACGAGACGAGCCAACGGGCTGCAGCCACCAGCACTAACACACACGTCTCTAAGGCTCAGCTATGCATCGTTATTTCATTACACCATCATGCTATTCTAATACAATGAGAAGAACAATTTGGAGATAAATATGGTAATTCAGGACTAGTTAACTTCTCGCAATTTTCAAGTGCCTTCATATATTAAAATGGATTTGTACATTTTGAAATAAAAATGGTTTTGAACTCAATAGCCTGAAACTTAACCTACATATTAATCACATGCTGCATGAATCTGTATGTTTTAAAATATCTTCGGTCCTCTGCTTGTTAAAAGAAACGTTTACAATTATTATTGAACACCAAACCTAAAAGGAAATAGCTCTTTTTAATCTATGCTTGCCTCTGACCTTCTCAACGTCCCTCTTTAACTTCAATATATACCCCCCGCCTCTCTGGATGTATCCTTAACAAGAAGTGCTAAGCCCCCCCGAGCGAACCTCGCACTCAAACGCTCTTCTCTTTATCTCACCCATGAAATCCAATTCGTGCGGATCTTTGGAAGCGTGACCATACTTTGTGAGGGTGTGAAACGCACTTTTCCAAGGTTGGATTTCACAGGATTTCCCATCTGTTACGCTTATACAATGGCAAATTGTCTCTTGGGTATTGTTGTCTTTGTAAATAGAGCCTAAGGGTTTCTATCTAGCATTTCTATACACATAAAGTAAACTGCATGCTGTATGTGACTGAACAATGAGAACATATACAGCAAATGTTTTCTTGTTCATTTGCTGAAAACCGAAAGTCTGATTGGCTAATAAAACTGTCAATGAATTCTTCATATTAAGATAAGTGATGCGCATAAGTAATATGGCAGCCTTAAAACAAGAGCTGAAATCTTGGGAATAATTGCTTATTTGGAATCGATCAATAACATTACCATCCCATTTTGTAGGTTAAATATGAACCTGGAAACAATAGAGGTTAGCTTATCTTAGCTTAGTTTAGAATTAGGACTGGAAACAAGGTACAGCAACTATCTTGGCTTGGCCACATTTTTATAAGCTTGACCCAAAATGTGTAAATTACATTAAAAAAACGAATTGTGGATTTGTTGGCTTGTGGACAATTGATATTGAAATTGATACTTGGCTGGT